GGAAAATGGGGTTGAAGGGGGGTAGAAGAGGGAATAGGGAGGGTGGGGTTGATGCTAGCGACAATTGGGAAGGGTGTGGACGGAAAGGGAGAAGGAAGAGAGAGGGGCAAAGGCAGATTTATAAAAGGTGCAAATATATAATTTTACCATGTTCTTTTAATTAATTCTTGGATAAATTACAAATAAACTTCTAAAATTTATTAAAAGTACAAATTCTTCCTTTATATTTGAGAAATTATATCCCATTCTTTGATGTTTCTAATAATTACATACTAAATGGTCCTTTTCATTAATCAACCGTTAATTCAAAGTAGTAGAGTGTATGACGCAATCAAAAAAAAAAAAAAAACTTTAAAAATACCTATATTAACATTTATGAAGTACAAATAAACTTCTAAAATTTATTAAAAGTACAAATTCTTCCTTTATATTTGAGAAATTATATCCCATTCTTTGAAGTTTCTAATAATTACATACTAAATGGTCATTTTCATTAATCAACCGTTAATTCAAAGTAGTAGAGTGTATGACGCAATCAAAAAAAAAAAAAAACTTTAAAAATACCTATATTAACATTTATGAAGAGAAACACTTTATTTTCTTTTTTCTTTTTTCTTTTTTCCTATCTCACCTTCCTTAATTTCATTTTCTATCAACTAGTAATGTGACTTTGCCCAACCTTAGAGTAATGTGACTTTGCCCAACCTTAGAGAGGAATTTGAGGGGTAAGTGAATGAAAATGAGAGTAATATAATAATTTCATTTTGATATTAGTGATTATTTAAGTAAAAAAAATTTTCCTATTAGATCAATTATAAAAAAATATTATAACAGGGAGTATTTATAAGAAAAATGTTTAGGGGCCCTAATTCTGTGGCTCAAATGTGGCTCAAATGGCCAAAACGACGTCGTTTTGGCCATTTTGATGTTGTTTTGTACTCAAAACGACGTCGTTTTGGCCATTTGAGCCAATTATAAAAAAATATTATAACAGGGAGTATTTATAATTTATAGAACGTGAGTCAGATCTTAGCCTTGTCAGGTCATGAATGTAGATAATAAAAAAAAAATGATAGCGGTCAGGATGGTGCAGAAAAGAAAAAAAGAAAAAAAAATCATACTTAATTTTTTTTTTTTTTAAAACCCCAATATTTATATGATAATAAAAAAAAAAAAGTGGTCCTTCCTACGGTGGGTTCAAGTGACACCCCTAATTACAGGATAGCGTCGCGGCTATTGGAAAGATTTATTTAATCGTTTAATCATTATGTTGAGTTGAATAAAATAAAGTAAATAATATTTATTTTTTATAAAATAGTATTTATTTATGATAATGAATAATAATTTTATCTATAATATATTTTCATATTTTTTTAATTAATCAAACATCATTATTCGCTTTAATTTCATATTTGGTTTTGAGTTTGTGTAATGACATAATTGACTTGATTTCTCCTTTCTTCAACGGCAGAGATCAAAATGAAAATTTTCCCCTTATTTATATTTTGGTGAAATTAAATAAAACTTGCTTATATTTTTTAGAGTTATTGCTCTTAAAAGGCACAATCATATGCATTCCTTCATGACAAGTGTACGATAATTATTAGGGGGTAAACGGTTTTTAGAGTTATTGCTCTTAAAAAGCACAATCATGTGCATTCCTTCATGACACGTGTACCATAATTATTAGGGAGGTAAACGGTTTGATATGGTTGATATTTAGGTAAAAAAAATTATTAAATTAATAATGTTGATTTTATTATTTTGAGTATCGATACAAATCATTTTTTCTATCAAACCGCACCAAATTGAGCCAATTGAAATGGTTTTGGTTCGGTTTAATTTAATCATTTAAGACCTTTCAAACTTGAACTACTTTTTAGTATAGTCATTAATTTATATAAAAACATTGAACAACACTTCAAACATATCTAATTCATCTATTTAATAAATACATTTTAATTCTTAAATTAACAAAAATACAAACATAAAAAAAGTTAAAAAATATTCAAGAATAATAAGTTAGAGTTAAGATTATATATAATAATAGTATACGAACTTAGGTTATAGAGATGATAAGATTAATTAATTAAGGATAATAATTTATTATACTTATTAATATCATTATATTATTAAATTATATATATATATATATATATAGTAAATACAATATATGTTGAAACGGTTAGTTTGGGGTTTAGTTCGGTGTACAATGTGCTTGAATTGATACCGAACCGAAAATAAAATAAAAAATCAAATAAAAAAATCACATAGCCTGATTCTTATTAAAAAAAAGGGAGCTGTTAAGATGTGCACGTTATAAAATAGTGCACATCATGTACACATTTATTTTAAACCATTAGATATTTATAAATTAATCTCAACCATAAAATAATTTAATTGAAAATATTGAATACCACCTCAACCGGTTATGATTTTGTTCACCGATTGTTGTATGTTCCACAAATCGTCTTCACTTTGTTTTCCCAAAACCCTTATTCTTCAGACCAATCTGAAGCTCCTATTTGCCCTCTTCAGACACGACTCTGGAGCTCTCTTCAGAGACGACTCCGAAGCTTCTCTTCGCCTTCTTCCGACACGACTCCGGAGCTTTCTTCGGACACGACTTCGAAGCTGTTCTTCGCCCTCGAAGACTATCCCGCGAACATAACGTGCCCTCGATTTCGCCTCAAGGTATCTCTCTCTCTCTCTTTCTCTCTCTCTCTCTCTCGCTGCAACTTTTTCTCTCCCTTTCTCCATCTCCATTCTATGAAACCCTACACTGAAATCCCCTTTTTCGAAACTGCCCCTTTCACCATTGTGAACTCACTAGGTTGGTTTAGGTTTTTGATGTTTGTTTGCTTTGGTAGTTGTTTTGATTTCATATGTATATATATACTTGAAATTTGGCTTGAGTGTGTAAAATCTGATGTGTGGATAACTGAATTTTGTACTCATGTAACTGATATAAGACTATAATTTTTTATTTGTTTATTGAAATCTGTTTATGTTTGTAACAATTACTCTTGTGGCGGCTTGTTTTTCCTATTAGAAAGAAAATTACAGTGGTTTGGGATGTATTACCTTTAGCAATTGTTTGGGAATTGTGGAAAGTGAGAAATTAATGGATATTTTGATGTTACTGTGACTTAGTTGAATACCCATTTAGTTATTTTTGTTTTTTTTTCTTCAAAAGTGTTAAAAAAATTATCTCTAATTATTTCATCAAATCTCATGAAGGGAGAGTTATTTTTTTTTATCAAATTGAGAACCAATAAAGTAAATTTGAATTTGATGAGAGAAAAAAAAAATGAAGCAATGGAGATGGGTTTTCTTGATCAATTTGATGAAAAGGGGAATTTTGGATAAGATGAAGGTTTTTAAAAAGATTTTAATGAAAGGATTTGAGTAATTCATATAAAGTCAAGTTTTTTTTACTCAAATTTGAAATCAAATTAGTTGAAAAAATTGGTGAAAGATTGGAGATGCTCTAAAATGGTTTATAAGTTACCTTGGAGACGATGAAATGCCAAAATTTGATAGGACTAAGGCCTAAATTAGAAAATCTACAAGGTATTAACAATAGAATAAAAGTTATGAAATGATGAGATTTTTAAAACTATATGAGGACACCAATGTCTTACAACTATTTTTGGGATTCTATGTTTGAGGAGCAAATTATTTGTGCAAAGTTCATAGAAATTTAATTTAGCTACCAAGTTGTTATGATTTAAACTTCTAACTGATCGTGCAAAGAAGTAAAAATGGTGATATCTATAACTAGTGGTGTGATTTGTAGAATGTGTGTATCTTAATGTGTTGAAATAAACTAGCAAGACTGACAATTAAAAAGTAAGTTTGTGATGATCGCTATAGGTTGCTTGCATTGGGCTAGGTTGAGAAGCATGCATTGCAGGCATAAGATCAGTTTAAGTGTGATGCTTGTCCTTTATAAGAGCCTTGCTTATTGGGCTCGAGCCTTTGGTTTTTTAAGCCGCAAGGTTTTGTTGTAAGCTGCTTTCCTTGATCTTCGAAGTGAGTCTTAATCCAAAAGCCTCAACAGCCTTTTAAATTGATTGTGACATTGTTTGAAAATACAAAAATATGTATTAATAGTGAACATGGACGTAATGCATCTTTTGCTGATATGGCTAACAAGGTAGGCAATAGAAAGCGCGCTTGCCTAGTAACATCATAATCATATGAACATTTTTTTTATGGGATCATCCACTTCTTTGATCCACCATTTAGTGTTGTCAAAAAATGGCATGAATTAAAAATTGTCTAATTTGGTCTACTTTCGTTTCTATTCACAATTCGTATTCGAATTCAAGATTCAAGCATAAATTATCAATACTTATTGTTTAATTGACTCGCATGACATGGTGTACTAAACTATTAAATTTTTGTCATTTTTCCCTTGTTTTTCCTTTTTGTCCACAAATTCAAGATTCAAATACAATCTAAAGGTATTTTTGTTTAATTGACTCACATGGCATGGGGTACCAAAATCCGTTCTTTTTTCCTTTCTATCTGAATGATGGAAAATTCTGCAGGTTACTTGACAATAATAATTTATCAGGGCATCTTCCGTGAGAGCTCGCCAATCTGCCTAGTCTACTAATACTGTACGTTTTCTGCTTCTGTAGTTATTAGAATACAAAATCACTCTATTAGTTTCCTCATAAATGAATACAAGGTTGAGTACATTATATTTTGTATGTGTTATACATCAAGAGCAGAGACCCCAATTAGGTGGGATATCTGGGATCTGAGGCTTTGTTGAGTTGGTGTGCACAATGCATCTGTAAAGAAGAATATATATATATATATATATACATGTGAATGTGTATGGGTGTAAAAATAGCATGTCACCCTCCATGAAGATTATCTCTGTAATATCGCTTTTCATTTTTTCTTCATTATGTTAATGAGGAAACCATGTTTAGCCTATTGAAGGAGCACAAAGTATCTTGTGTTTAATGTCTCATAAATTTTCTTCTTTTTTCATTTGGCAGTCAACTGGACAACAACCACTTTGATGGGGCTACAATACCAGATTCTTATGGCAACATGTCTCCATTGTTGAAGTTGTAAGTGCATATGCTTTTTTTATTATTTTGTAAGTAAATAGAAAATGTTTAAGCTTGAGGCAAAGTGTCATGTTATCTATTCTGTTTTTGCATGAGATGTAAGCCAAGAGGCACGATGCTTTAGCTTCATAATGCCTCTTCTTCTTTTTTTTCTTCTTTGATTTAAATAAAAAATTAAGCTACATTTAGAGGAGATAGATTGTTCATGACATGTCAACTATCTATTGACTACCTTTCTTTTCCTTGAAAGCTTTATGCTCTTTTCTTATGAGATTGAGGAACATGCATATGCATATGTTTCAGTGCTTCTTGAGATTGTTTATGAATCAGTATTATTAATTGTATCAGGAGTCTTAGGAACTGTAGCTTGCAAGGACAAATCCCTGACCTGAGCAGGATACCACACCTTGCTTATATGTAAGTTCATGAGTAGCTATCAGATATTATGACACTAATTACTTGCCAATTGGCTCCTCCAAACATTTTACGCATCTTTACAAAATCATTTTGTGTCTTATATAGTTAAAAGCCTCCATTTTGTGTCTGCTATTATGGTAATATTCAATCTCTCCGATCGAATTTTGCTAGTCGGAGCCGTATTTTGTGTAATGGTACATCTTTCCTATTGGTTTGTATCTTCAACCATTTTTCTGTCCTAATGGCGTATGTATCCATTATAGAGGTTTATTAGTGTAGAATCTTTCTTCACTCACCTGATTATAGCAATCAATCATATAGATATCTTGGATGCTCTCTGGTTGATGCTCTAGTTACGGAATTGTTCATGACCAAAAAAGAAAGTTTCCCTAACAACCTCTTTATTAATTATTTTTTTTCCTGGTTGTTCTTTCAATTATCAAAGACATGCAGGATCTCAAAGGTTTTGCTAAAAGTCAAGGTGCTGTGTAGAATCTAAAGAATTGACCCACTGGGACATTAATTTCTGGAGTGAGAGACTTCGAGAGTCAAGTTATAACTTAAATGAGGTAGGCCCTCTCTCAATATGTCTTACAGTAGTAACACGAATATCAAGTGAATTGAAAAAATGACCATGTTAATGTATCTGGCCTAACCATTTTGAAATTAAAATTTGATATTCAAGTGTGAGCCTATATCCACAGCCAATTGGCTGCATCTGCAACAGCCTCCACACTCGCATATATTCAGAGTTTGTTTTGGACTTATGAGTTTCAATTTTGAATATATTCCTATTTTTCTTGCATGTCATGCTACTCTTTCAATGTTGGTTTTCTTAACTTTATTTTTCTTTCCACAAACTTCTGCAGCTCACAGCTGGACCTGTATGGATCTGTATGTTTTTGCAACACCTTATAGGATTACCTGGGATTATTATTTCTCTGCCCGAGACCATACTTTGAAATTTGAATCTTGGGAGGAAGAAGCAGACCATACTTTGTTTTTGTTCTTAAACCTGTGAGTTTGAAACACCAATAGGCAAAAGCAGTTTCAATGTAAGAAGGGCGTTTTTGGCAGCAGCCCTTTTAACCTTTTTTTGAATTCAGCATGTAGTTAATTATGCCTATATAATAATAAAGGAAAGAATTAGCATTCTACTATTGCTTAAATTTTATTATTGTGGTTTTGCATGTCCCGGAATTTGGTAAATGAATTAATCTATACATTATATAAACGTTGAGAGGGGAAGGGGGTGCGATGAGTTCTTTGGCTCCGTCACTATGAGCTCAGATGGGCTTGTTCAGTGTTGGTAGTGGCGCTTCATGGTGAACTAGGTCGATAATAATTCAAATTCAAGTTGATTACTTTTGTGAGGAAACACTCTTCCTGCTGGGCTAATTCTCTTCTTTATATGAGAATATAGCAACAAAATAGCTTAGCGAAATAAATTGTTTCTGTATGGTCGTCAATCTATTACAACCTTACGAGCATAAAACAAAGTTCCAGTTCCATATTGTCCCAAGCTTGATATACATTTTTGCTAATGTAATCCAGGGCTTACTGAACTTCGCATGACATCAAGCTTGCTCTCTTTCTCTTTCTTTTTCTTTTTTTTAAATAAATTTCAAGCTGCTGGGTTCACCAACTATTCATTATCATTTGGAAATTCTATTGCAGAAATGTTCAATTTCTAATTCCAAGCAATCCATTAGAGCTGCTTGCAACTTGGGGGGGAGCATGATACAATTGTTTTTCTGAAGAAAAAGTTGGAGATTGTGCCCCCTTGGCATGTTCTCTAATAAAATTTTCTTTCATTGTTATAAAAAAAAAATGTGAAACTTTTAAGGATGATGTAGCAGGGTATATATGTTTATTCAAATAGGGTAGCTTTTCCATCGCATAAGGCATCAAATGGCATATCTAATGATGTGGATTTAGCGTCACAAATTATAGAAGGATTTATTTGTTTAATATTTTTGTTTCTGCTTTTTTACCAGTTTGGCATAATACTACTTGAGTTTAAGAATCTAAGGTTGGTCAGGGTTTGTGGTACTTTTAGGGTTTGAATAGGTTTAAAGACACAATGTAAAACTAGTGTGATACTCGTTGGTTTTAAGAGAGGGTTTTGTTATCACTAGAGTCATCGAGAGAGGGGCAAAAAGGATAAAGATGAAGACCAAATCAAGGACAGAGGTTAACAGCATGTATGGGTGGACAACCAAGATCAACTTAACCATCCAAGTTCTAGAAATTGCACCTTTCACTTTTCTACATATTGTGGTTTTCTCTTCTAGTGCTTTATGCAGTGCAGTTCTGCTAGTTCAGTGAGAACTTGAACATGTGATATGTGCCTAAGCTTCGTTAAACTATATATGTCATCATGGACATCAGGTTGCATTTCACTTGTTCAGAGGAGTGTTTGCAACTACTAAAGCTCATTGCATTTTGGTGGCAGGTCCTTGTCTTCGGTAAGTCATTGCAATCATTAAGTGTGCTCAATCTAAGGTATCCCCCATTGATGTATAATCTCTGTGTCTTCTTGCAAATCCAATTTCAACTTCAGGGGATTTTTTCTTTTGTTTCAAACATTGTTAGTGCATGACAAGGTTACTTCTTTGTTTTTCAGGGGGAATAATCTAACACAAAGATGATGCAGAGAGTCTTAAAAATGCCTTGGCTCATATGCCTACCTTAAAAATTCTGGATGTAAGTGACAATCCTCTTCAGGACGATGGAATCAAGTTAGTTTGATTTTTTTTAATGAAAATAGTGATATGTTCTTTTTTGTTGTTGAGTTGGGACAAGGTTTTGTCCAGTTCAGTCAGTCTTACAACTTGTTCTAGACTTTTCAGGAGTTTAATCCCCTACTTTGTTGTGATGTCTGAAAGGGACTCTCACTTTGCTGATTTGAAAGTGGAAAATTGCGAGCCTTCATGTAATGGAGTGAGTCAACTTGTAGGTGTTCTTTCAACTTTAAAGAGGCCACTGGACTCTCTATCTATTGGAGAAAATGGCCTTGGCAGGCTAGTTTGGCTTATGTAGTTTTAGTCTAACAGAGTTTAGGCTTCCACTCTTGTTATTTCATTTCCAGATGTATTGGTTCTGATATTGCTGTCCTCCAGCAAAGTTGGAGCACCTTTGGGAAAATTTTTGGGCATAGGTATTCAAGCACTGGAAATTAAAGATATTGGGCTTGGTTCATCTGGCTTTCTGGAACTACAGAAAGAAATAAGAGAAGATTTGAAGCTTGTCTACATCAACTTGAGGTTCTACTGATGCCTAGACTTATTCAGAACTTGTGTTGTAGCTTATTTCTGAAACATAAACTTGTTGATTAATATTGTATGGTAAAAACTGCGGAGGGATTGGCAGTGATTATAATTTGCTAACTTTTTATTTTCTTTTTTTTATGTTTGGGTTAGTTTCTTTATTTTTTTATGACTGATTCCAATGGCTTTTTGTAGGAGAATTGGCCATCTTGTTCCTTGAAATAACCATTGGCCCATGAATAAGTTATCCAATATTTTGATGGTTTTTTAACATTTTTTGGGGTATGGTTTGTGGTTAAATATAAATAAGTAGGAAATGTTACAATTTAAATGTAATATTTTAACAATCTGGAAGAGGGTGAAAGAGGAATTAAACTTGTTTGATTTGCTTTTAGTTTATGTGCTACTGTATAGAATCCTTGACTTTCGTTTTTAGTTTAGCTAATAGTGCAATTTGACAATTAAATCCTTATTTTGCAGATTTAGTGAGTGCAAAAGAAATTTATTTATATTTTTTCTGTCTATAAATAGTAGGCGTTATTTTTTTTAAAATAAGGAGAAATGGTGGCGTTTTTGAAAAACGTCACTAAATGTCATTATATGATGTCAGCATATAACTGTAATAGAAAAGATGGCATTTTTGAAAAAACGTCACTAAATGTTGTCATATGACGTCAGTATTCAACTGTTGCGGTTTAAACATAACGGATGTTTAAGAAATTACGGCGTTTTAACAAGCGCCGGCCAAACTCATTAGTGACGTTTGATAAACATCATATACCTAAGACAGCGACCGTATCTTCGACGCAAGTTACAAACATTACTTTATCCTTTAACGGCGTTTTGAGACTTATAGTGTTGTTTTTTAAACGTCACTAATGCCAAAAATTCCTGCAGTGACTGTATCCTTGAAAATTCTAGTTATCCATGATACTAACAATTTTCTGGGCTTTTGAACCAATCATCGACAAAAAATGTGTAGTGATTTATCAGGCAACAATCTTATTGGACCTATTCCTGCCAACTTTTCGGGCTTTCCTCTACTTCAGAGATTGTGAGCATTTTCGGGCTTTCCTGCCAACTTAGTCCATAACAGATAATCCTAGAACAGAATCATGTCATTATACTTGAAAATGGCCCCTTTTGTTTTGTCCCCCTAATAGCCTCATTTTAGATTTTTGAATTTTAACGTCAAATGCTTTAGTTAATGCAAAAGGGCCATTAAAAATCCTGGGGCATCCTAATGCACCTCTAATTATCTTTTGAAGATTGAACCTATGCTCAAGATTGTACATCCTTGGTAAAATATTTTGGGTGAACAACATGCTAATCATGTATTTCTACTTCTTATGGTTCAGAACTGGTGAAACAGGTTGAGAGAACAGTTAGGTCAGAGAACTACCGTTCACCGAACAGACCCATATACCTTGTAGGAGAATCTCTTGGAGGATGCCTTGCACTAGCTGTTGCCGCCCGCAACCCTGATATTGATCTTATATTGATTTTGGCCAACCCAGGTGAGAAGTTTGTTTCTTGCAGAGCATCATGCTAATGAAAGCTCCGAGATTCATTCAATTATGTCTTAACTTTCATTATCCTCTTGCATAATGTTTCCTTGGCAGCTACATGTTTTGGTAAGTCGCAACTGCAACATCTAATACCTTTTTTGGAAATCATGCCTGAGCAGCTTCATCTAAGTGTGCCTTATGTGATGAGTTCATTCTCAGGTTTGTTTTCCTTATTTGTCAGAATCTCCCTTCAACGTTTGGTAGTTGCTAATTTTACTACTTCTGATCCAATCAGAGCTTGCAATACACCAGATTAGGCTGTACAAAAACTGCCTAACTTGCCAACGTATTCATATTTATTTCTGTATTTTGTAGATAATTCAATATTAGGAACAAATGATGATACAGTTAAATCCACCATGTTAATGTTCAATAGAAGTTATTTGTTTCTTTCTTTTTGGTACTCTAGAAGTACAAACATGCCAAGCTGAGCTGAGAGTTTTACTAGTAACCACAGAAAACTCTGAAAGTCAACTCAAGTTTTCACTATTCTTTACTGGTTTTAAATAGTATTATTCTGCAAATGTTAATTTTCTCAAAATTCTCCAAGGTGATGTTCATACAATAGCATAATACACACATCAAATATCTATAAACTAAGCTAAAAGTTTTGTTGCTCTGCCTTGGCCTTTTAAGCACTATATTCAGTGGCCTTCTTAAAATGCACATAATTGGAAGACGCAGTTAGAAGATTGTCTGAACTTCTGGACCTTTGATACTAGAAATTTGCAGATACCTCAGAATTTTTACTTCTGTAAGATTGATTTTGAAACAAGCAGGCAAATTTTTTTTTTTTTCCCTGATGGTAATAAAAATTAGGAACTGATTTCATTATCCCCTTCAAAGTGAAAAATATTTAATGTGGTCAAAACAGGCATGTCTTTTTGTAAATTAGATATAGATATGTCAATATTTTCCACAATGAAACCGGAAGTTGTTAAATTTTTAGGTATTCCTTTGAGGATGGTGATGGCTACAGTGGAGAAAGGGCTTCCTCTGCAACAAACAGTTGGAGAGATATCACAGGGTGTTATAGCTTTGTCATCATACCTTTCTGTAAGATCCAACATTTGCATGTGAATGGAAAAAGGGAATGCTGATACGTTTTCTTTTTGTTCAATAAGCATCTGAAGCGAGCTTGTTATTTCATGGTCACTGCAACAAGGACCCTGTTCTTGCCATCTCCTTTGATGCTCTCTCTCTCTCTCTCTCTCTTTTTTTGGATAAATAAATGGACTTTATTAGAAAAGCATCAAGACGATGCAAAGAATACAAAAACTACCCTTAAAGGGCCAAACAAAACTATCTAAACAAATCTTTCACAAAATCTACAAAAGCCAAAACACTTGGATCAACCGAACCCATAACCCAACTATGCAATACCATCAACAACTGACTTTCTAACCATGAGACGGAACGACACTCATTTTGAAAAACACGCCTATTTTGCTCCAGCCACACCAACCAAAGCAAACAATGGGAAGCAAGAACCCAAGTCTCCCGACGCCACTTCCCCAACCTGGCCCCACCCCAACTTTGTAGCACACTTAACACCGACCCCGATTGCACCCAAACCTGTAACAACCCGAAAATTTAAGTTGTTCCTTAAATTTTATATTAGTATTATTTAATTATAAATGAGAAAAATATAATTTTATGTACGATTAATTAAGGTCAAAATATAATATATATATATATATATATA